ATGAAAAAGCTGGAAATAAAAACAAGGAATGACCTAGGAATACTGGGTATCCAAAGGACCCTTGCAGCTGTACCCAAACTTCAATTTCCAATTTCTATTCCCCACTAAAAACAAGACTTTAAAAGAACTGTCTTATTACAGATATGGGTCAAGGAAAGCACAGACTGTTGGAAGGGGAAAAAAAAAACCTATCAAAGACAACTGAGATGATGTCAAGGGGACTCAGGTGCCTGTCTGAGGATGTTCTCTCTGTATAAGGATGGAGAAGAATTCTGAGCACCAACAAACTGTGATGGATTGCACAAAATGCATTGAAATCCGTGAGTTTATGGTGATGCTTAAACATTCATAAACAGACACTGGCCAGGCCCCTCTAGACTAGGATGCTAAGAAGAAAGCTCAAGACTTTCCATGCTGGTGAATGCAATTTGCTTTTTCTTTCTTTATAAAGTGTACCCCAGGATAAACAGCTGATCAAGACCTTTCTTCCCTTATACAAATATCTTGGCTGATGCAGCAAAAGAGGAATTATAAAAGTCACATACATATCAGCATTTTATAACCTATAATGAAACAATAAACCTGGGTAATCATCCATATCTAATAAGAACAGAAACAACCAGCAACTGAGAGCCTCCCGACAGACACACCACACCACTCTTTCCAAAGTAGCAAAGTGTTCTCGACAGAGAAGAGTTTTGTTTGTAGGTGAATGCATTTATCTCAAAACTGCATCCCATCAGCACTCTAGATCAAACGTTCAATCCGCAGAGGCAGACTGCAGGTAGGTGCACACGACAGATGACTCAATTTTTCAACAAATAAACTGCTAGTGGGAAAGAAGAGATGGGGATAAAAAAAACTATTAGTCAATGGCACCTCATGAACACTATTGGAACAAATGATAAACCAACCACTAAAACCTACATGAGGATATCTGTATTTATACCTGTCTATAATACACATATGTGCATATATATGCATACATATCTACACAGATGTCTCTACATGCATGTGTTGTTCCTAAAAGGTAACTAGGGAAACATGAACAGGTTATAAAGTACCTGACATTATTGAGAAATAACTATTTTTTAGATACATTTTTAAAGAATTTGTTTTCTGTAGGTAGCTATTAAGAGATGTACAGATGAATTAGCACCATACATGTGATTTGTTTCAAAATTTAGAGGGTCAGGGATGAGTGGAAGGTAGACTGAGTGATAGTGAGTTAAGACTGGGTGATTCCCTGTCTTAGATAAGATCAAATTTTTCTATAATAAGGCATAAAGTATGAGCACAAATAAAAAGTTAGGTACCTAATGTCAGAAACTTTGAAAATGCTATCAGACCACATGTTCCATTCAGAGTCTATCATGGCTGTATGGGGGAGAGTTGTCACCTTAATAAACTCCAAATATTAAGCAATCTGTGTCATATCCCACAGGACTGTGGCAGTGGGGAGAGGCTGAGAACCACTGTGTAAACACCTCAAGGGTAGGAATGTGCATTATTAACACAGTGTTTACCCAGTGTCTAACATTTAAGAGGCATTCAAGAAATATTTGGTGATGAATGACTGACCCAAAGTACGAAATGGCAGCTAACTGCTACATGTGCAAAAACAGAAATTCATATTTGATATTGAAACCTCTGGGCTCACTGGGTTGAGAGGGTAGGACCTTCTGTTTCAAGTAGAATGGGTTTCCTTCATAAAGACACAGACCAGTCAGTCCGAACAGCTTTGAGTAAACACCCAGAATAAAAATAGTTTCATACACACAGCTAGGTGTGGGTGTGGCTAGCAAATACTCTGATTCTACAATCTGTTTTGGACAAGGCAGTGCTTCGTATGTGACTAACAAAGCAAACGATAAGCAGAGCCTGTGTGCTGAAATAAGCACAGTTTGCTAAAAGGACTGAATATCCACTTTGCCAGTAAAACACTACGCTTCTCAATGCTAGAGAACACTGAGATACTCACATACATTCACACATATATCCCCCAAAGAAGGCACATAACCACCCAGCACGAACCCCATTTTTCTTTTTCTCTATATAATACGAAGTGGATTCTGATTATAGGGGGGCAGTAGGAGGAGATTAAAAATCTCTTGGTACAAATATTTCGTTGTGTTGATGGAAAACCGGATGGGTAGAAATGCTAAGGGAGAAGTTCTGAAAACACTAGGAGTAGCCACAGCTGGACAACTTCACAGGGGCAGATTTACGAGTATATAGCTGAATACTACCCTGCTGCGTGTTCGCAGAAATGACACTTAACCAGATGCAGCATCAGTCTCAAGCAGATGCACAGGTGTGGATATAAGCGCTAACACACACACACACACACACACACACACACACACACACACACACACACACACACCCCTACTACTACTCAAGATACGTTTCCACATCCTAGCATGCAGATGCAGCATGTTACCTTCTAGTTCAGAACGGTCTCCACCGAGCATGTGCAGAGGAGGGCCTTGAGTTCTCACTTACCTTTTGTGGTCTCTCAGATGCAGTGCAGCTTATATTACTATAAAAGCTGTTTTTAAATGGTTTCTAAATGATAAAATGCACACCAGACTATCAACTCTCTGGGTCTCCTGATAATTTAAACTGATTTTTAAAAAAGCCATATTTAAAACCAGGTATGGTGTTACACTCCTGTATTCCCAGTACTCGTGAGGCTGAGGCAGAAGGATGTCTGTGAAGTGAGAGGTGCCTGGACTACACATAAGGATCAGGCTAGCTAGGGTTCTATACTAAGACCTCAACAAACAAAAGCAAAACTTCCAAAAGAGTGGTATTTACATGTACCTGAGCATGACATAGAAACATACATGATAATGTCGTATGTGTGTGTGCCTGAGTGTATGTATGGCACCTCATGCTAGCAGAGGTGGGGGCGGGTCAGATCCCTAGGAACTTGAGTTAACAGGTAGGTGGTTGTGAGCTGCCATGTGGGTACTGGGAAGAGCATGACAGATCTTAACCACTTAGCCATCTCTCCAGTACCACAATAACACAGATTGCTAAATGTGGCAGTGAGCCAAACATTTAAAAGAAGGGAGAGGAAAAATGAATTATGCATTTGTATTTCAACAACTGTACAAGGATTTGTTCAAACATACATAGGAGAAGACATGGAAGAGAGTGAGGAAGATGAAAGGACAAGCTTTTATTTCATCTTCTAAACAGTCAATATTCTAATGACCAATGGATCACTCCTGGTCCCACACTGCACTAATTCTAGCTAGATGCAGAAAATGATGTATTCATGCTGTGTACTGAATTTGCTCCAAGCCTGCTCACCTGCAAAGCTGATCTGGCTCAGAATCAAAATGATGACATTAAATGGGATACAAAGCTTGGTCTCAACTCCTTACTACTACATTTCCCAGGATCCTGAAAGCTAATAAGTTCTCTAAGGCTGTAAGAGAGAAAACCAATGACTGGAACTGATGGGGATAATGTTGACTTCTCTGGGAGAAAAATGTTTCTAATCTGGATGTTTCAAGATCCCTGTAGGGAACTGCATCGTTAGTCAACCTTATTTTTTAAAAGCAAAGTCTGAGGATCCTTTTCCTTTAAAAGGAATATAGCGATCTTATGTAAATAAACACATCATAGGGTTATCAAGGTAACAGCCTTTTCAACTATGAGGTAAAATGAAAATTTACAGAGGAAAACCTAAAGCCACTGATTGTGTAGCTATGAATAAAGAATTTAAACCCTGCAGGGAAATTAAACAGTCAATTTGCACAAGTCCAAGATATCTTGTACTTGTCTCAAAATTTAAAAATACTTAAAATGAAAATATCTGCTATTTCCCCCCATACTAACCTCTAAAAGCTTGCCCTAAAATTCTGATATGCAAAACAATATTACTTACATTTTTATTATTTTCCTCTTTACTTCAAGCCCTCAAAATTAGCAAAAATTCAGGTCAGCTACTTTTATAAAACTTTTTTCTAATAACTGAAAGATTAACATGATGATTTAAATCCATATTCTTCCTAAATAACTCTCACATTTTTCTACCAAATATTTTCAATCAACTAACACAAGAATGTACTTTTTAAAAATATAAAGGACAAGCCATCATTCCATCATGAACAAACACTGGAGTCAGAACTCCTAAAATGACATACAGGAAAAAAAAAAAGGTGCACAGTTAAAGCTATTAATATATGTCGAAGACAAAGAGTTTATTTTTCAATAAAAACACAAGGAAAAGAGAACCCAGCTTGACTTTGTTGGCCTGCCCAATAGCACTCTCCACCGTAATTAGTGCTGACCAGTCCTGAGGGGTGGAGCTTAAGCTCAGGGTAACCTCATGCAGTAAGTGAAAAAAACAGTATAAATACCCAGGGCATCTGTGAAAGGGCACCATCCACTGCTCACAGGGCAGAGGAAGCCAGGCAAGCTGCCCACACATCTCCAGGAACTCCCAGCACCAGGTAAGCCTGGACCAAGGATCACCGGGAGACATCCTGGTCAGGTGGCTAGGAAACAAACTGCAATCAATTACAGATATCATGGTATATGTGCATGATTTTAAAAGTGGCTTTCTAGCAAAGGGCAACCAGACAGGTTCCTGTGTAGTTAACTATTTAAGGTATTCTTAATGAAAAGGACTGTACAAATTTGCCTTAATGTGAATTCCAATGTATCTTGAAAGTTCTAGCTATTTCAGGTTATGCCAAAGATTCTGGATTATTTAATACAGTTATCTAGTAAGGTGATTATTTGGTGGGGTTATTTTTAGAGCATTATTTAAATGCAGCTTCTCAAAACTAGTAAGATGTGTATATATTCATGTAACAAAAACTTTCCTATTATTTTATGGAATATATTCAAAATATAAAACTTTGGCCATAAAAAAGATAACTATATAGTGAATCAATCTGCAGAGCATCACAAAAATAAAGCAGATCAGGCATGGGCTGCGTGTAACTGTTCTCTTCTGTTTTTCAGAATCATCTGAAAATATGCTGCCACCAATAGCCTTTCTGCTGCTAATGTCCCTGACCTCGGTTCATGGGGTGTTTTATGCTGAGAGATACCAAACTCCCACAGGCATCAAGGGCCCACTTCAGAACACCAAGACACAGTATTTCATCCCATACTCCATAAAGACTAAAGGTAAAGTCAGCTGTGCAATCTGCTCTACTAACCAGAGGGCTGGTGTTGTCAAGTATTAATGATCAACTCCTTAACAAAATACTTCCCAGCCTGTTCTTGTTCTATTGGCTCAAGTTACTACAACAAAATGATGTGTGGAAAAGACAAGTCTGTATATGGGAACATGATATTCCTGGAGAAGCTGGTAGAAGAGAAAGACACACCTGAGGAATATCAGAGACTATGTATGGGGAAGGCTTTTTTCCCTTTCAAATGATGGTTTCATGCAATTAAATAATTACCCAGAATCTAGAAATATTAATTCAGTAATATTAAGTTAATTTAAACTAAAAACAATTTCACAGACTAGGAATTTTATGTATCTAATTACTTAAACATTGCTTTAAAAACCCTAGCCTGCACATATGAAAGAAAAATGGTATCAAATAAAACCAGACAGCCCTCAATAAAGCTAATGGGCAAAGGAAGTAGCAATTCTCATAGTTACTTACACATTCACATATAGTGCACTGGTTAAATGTACAGTCATAACTAACTGCTAAGTGCTGGCTGTGTGGGCTCAGAGTTCCAAGGGTTTCTGTGAAGTTTAAATGTGCCTACATCTGATGAGTGTTATGTCTTGATATTACTACATTCAAGCACAGCTTCTTCCTTCTACTTCTCCACTGGGACAGCCTGAGACATTTCCTTTCCTTGGGAATCTAACCCTCACCTATCTGGCTTATTATATGAAGGATGCCAAGGCAGCACATGTAAAATGACATGAGATAGTCACAGAAGGGCCTTTGCTAATGGTATCCACCAGATCAGACACGAAAACTCCTGGTAATACAAACTGTTCTCAGATTTCACCTTCCACAGTATTTTTCACTTTATTCATAGATTTTTTCCAGCATAGAGCAAAGGCACGTGTTGTAATCTTTAAATGGTACTATTTTAGACAGAAATATCTTGAAAACAATCAAATGTTTAAGAATGTCTTTTTAAAAGAATTAAATATTTCACAAAAGGCAACTTAATATTTAAAAAGTATGAAAGACACTCTTTTCATGAAGAGTAGAACCCTCCAGGGAGATGTTTCGGAGACTCAACAGAAAGTGGCCCAAGCGATGCAGCATAAACATCCCTGGCAAATATCTCAGTGGGCCCATGGGACTGAGCAAGGGCAAAGAGGGGGAAGGGACTGTAACTTGTTTCTTTTTATAAGGAAGAAGATCTGAGAGGTACTCTTGACGTATGTCTCATAACATATATAAACTGAGGAAAAGATAAAAGCTAGAAGGAGAGAGGACAAACATATTCTACCTTAAAGCAGTGAGTGTAGTCTGAAATGCCAACGGCCAGAAATGGGTTTGGCACTTTGCCCTAATTCAGAGTTTTTAGCACTTTACCAATATCACAAAAAGTGCTGGAGTGAAAACGGAACACGCCATTGTTAGAAGGTTAAACGTGTCTCTGTCTTCCCATTTAAGGCATGATGCTCATCATTCTGTTCTTACGGAACAAATGGAAATACCTTCTTAGTAGATATAAAATGCAGAAGCTGTATTTTAACTATTAAATCTACCTAGGTCTCCTTTTGATAATGAACAAATCCCACCCACTGCCAGGTATCAGTGCCCTGTAACAAACACACATGCCTACATCAAGGTGACAGCAGAAACCCAGAAAGTTCCTAGGTAATCTCTGGGCACATCTCTGCACAGGCTGACAGAACAGTCAAACCACGCTCAGTTGTGCTGGAGGGGAAGCTACTCTGCCCTCAGTGCAGCCTGCAGACACTTATGAACCTTAATTGAAGGCAGCTGCTGTTCATGAGGGACTGTGCTCCTCCTAATTGTACTCTTCTAGACTAGGAACTGATGGCTATCCCTCAAATACTCACAGAAGCCAGACTCTTTTTTGCACTGAGAGGTTTAGGATCTTAAGACCAACAAAGACCCTGTCACTGGAGGGCAAGTTTCCAAAGTGTCTGATTCTACCCTTTCCAGTAAGACATGTTTCCCCCTTTGTTTCGACACTAAAACATATTTTCATAATTCCACAATTTTTTATATAAATATGATCCTTGTAATTCAATGCTACAGTAAATTCTGCATTTGAAAACTATGCTACTTTACTCCAAATCATTAAAATAATCCCTTATTTATTCATGAATTTTATTTTGTCTGTCAAAATTTATAAACACATATCATGGATATACAACAAAGTTAATCTCAGGAGGTATCTTTAAGAATATTAGTAACCACTGTTGGCTGGCTACTCTTTAAGTGCCAGATATTTAATAGGAGAGATTTTTTTAAAATTAACGTAATTACATACTAATGGCTAAAGGGAATGGTATTCTTTTAAAAAGTTATCAAAGATAATTTAGAATGGTTAATAAACATTCCCTAGTCTTTATTTTGGCTTTTCAAACCACTAAGGTATTAGGAATTTATCATACTAAATGTTATTGTATTCAAAGTTAGCTAAAAAGTGATAGATGTATAGTTAGGAGTTTAGCTCATGGTAGAGCACTCGTAGACTATGGGTAAAGTCCTGGTTTTGAGAGTAGGACCGATCTCTCTCTCTCTCTCTCTCTCTCTCTCTCTCTCTCTCTCTCTCTCTCTCTCTCTCACACACACACACACACACACAGACACACACACACACTCCAAGAAATAAATAGATCATAGTTAAACATCATTTTTACAGTTTTGAGCTACCTACTGTCACATCTACTAAATCAGCATTACTATGAACTGCTTTCCAACAGTCCAAAAATCTAAAGGTTTCTGAACTCTTATTAAATAAAATGAATAAAAATTGTATAAGTAAATATTTTTTAAAAATCATCTGCAAATTTATGGTCATCCTTACTCATTATATATAATTTCTCTGAGGAAAAAAAACTTTGTTTTATGACATTTACAGTGACTACTGCCAATAGACAGAAACAAGCATGCTCTCCATGGCATATGGTAGTATCGACATTGCAGGCTGTCTCTCACTGCTGAAGGGCTTCTTATAGTAACTGTCACACTCTATCCCCGAGGCAGTAAGTCACATTCTGTTTCACCCCCATCTGTGATCTAATAGTACATTCTGTCACAGGCACTGAATAAGGGATTACTGAAGAGAAGTTCAGCACACCAGGGACATGTTTTAGTTAAATGAATCCACAGCATTATGAGATTAAGCAACGCTGACTACATTTTCATCACCACTTTGAAACTATTCTGTGTGCTTCAGCAATGCATTATGTCTAGTCCTGTCCTTCTTTGCTTCAATTTTAAGCCAATGAAGGAGAACAAAAGCCCATGTCTCTACAGAGGTGACAATGAGTCTAAATCAAAGAACGCTGCTCAGGCTTAAGTCTCTCATCTATGCCTTAGAGGATAACCTATGTGAAGCTAGACTGTATAGTTCTTCCTTTTCTTTGCTTTCCTTCCTAACTGGATGATTTTTCTCAGACAAAGTCATCAACTCACCTCCATGCTATGTTTACCTTAGAGGGATTCCTCAACACCAGTTTATTTTTATTGCCTCATTAGGATGACTCTTTAGTCATGGTAGCTGTGGCTTTGCGAAACCACCTTCTCCAGAAGTCTCTGAACAAATACAATGCCCATACCATCCAACCCACTGAAGACGGTTGTGTGGAAGATTTATCTGAAATGCAGAGACTACCAAACTCTGCCTTTACTGTGCTTTGAGAATCTCTGGCTGCTTTTACTGTTGCTTATGTTGGGTGTATGTTGGTGTCTTGCAGGAATCCCAGTAAGAGGAGAGCAAGGAGTTCCTGGTCCACCAGGCCCAGCCGGACCCCGAGGACACCCAGGTCCCTCGGGACCTCCAGGAAAGCCAGGCTATGGAAGCCCTGGGCTCCAAGGAGAGCCAGGGTTGCCAGGACCACCAGGAATATCAGCCACTGGGAAGCCAGGCCTGCCAGGCCTGCCAGGCAAACCAGGGGAGAGAGGACCACATGGACACAAAGGAGATATTGGACCAGCTGGCTTACCAGGACCTCGGGGCCCTCCAGGACCACCTGGAATCCCTGGCCCAGCTGGGATTTCTGTGTCAGGAAAACCTGGACAGCAGGGACTTACAGGTGCCCCAGGACCCAGGGGCTTTCCTGGAGAAAAGGGAGCGTCAGGAGCCCCTGGTGTGAATGGACAGAAAGGGGAAACAGGATATGGTGCTCCTGGCCGTCCAGGTGAGAGAGGTCTTCCAGGCCCTCAGGGTCCCATAGGACCACCTGGCCCTCCTGGAGTGGGAAGAAGAGGTGAAAATGGCTTTCCAGGACAGCCTGGAATCAAGGGTGATCGGGGTTTCCCAGGAGAAAGGGGACCCTCAGGCCCACCAGGTCCCCAAGGTCCTCCTGGGAAACAAGGACGGGAAGGTATTGGGAAGCCAGGAGCTGCTGGCACCCCTGGGCAGCCAGGTATCCCAGGAGAAAAAGGCCACCCAGGAGCTCCAGGAATAGCTGGGCCTCCAGGAGCTCCTGGCTTTGGAAAACCAGGCTTGCCAGGTTTGAGGGGACAAAGGGGACCTGCTGGTCTTCCTGGGGCCCCAGGTGCCAAAGGTGAACAAGGGCCAGCGGGTCATCCTGGGGAGGCAGGTCTGACTGGATCCCCTGGGAATATGGGACCCCAAGGACCTAAAGGGATTCCAGGGAACCATGGTGTCCCAGGTGCTAAAGGTGAGGCAGGTCCAATTGGGCCTGTAGGGCCACCTGGGGCTAGAGGAGCAAGGGGTCCCCCTGGGTTAGATGGAAAAACAGGGTACCCTGGAGAGCCAGGTCTCAATGGCCCTAAGGGTAACCCAGGGTTACCAGGCCCAAAAGGTGATCCTGGAGTGGGAGGAGCCCCTGGTCTCCAAGGTCCTGTTGGCCCTACAGGAGCTAAGGGAATGCCTGGACACAATGGTGAGGCAGGTCCAAGAGGTGAACCTGGAAAACCAGGTAGCAGGGGTCCCATTGGGCCACCAGGTACCCCAGGATTCCCTGGAGCTAAGGGTGTCCCTGGAAACCCAGGTCCTCCTGGTCCAGCTGGCATAGCAACTAAGGGCCTCAGTGGGCCCACTGGTCCTCCAGGTCCTCCTGGTCCAAGAGGACACAGTGGAGAGCCTGGCCTCCCAGGTCCCCCAGGTCCCCCTGGACCCCCTGGCCAAGGAGTCATGCCTGATGGCTTCATAAAGGCAGGCCAAAGGCCCAGGCTTTCTGGGATGCCTCTTGTCAGTGCTAACCATGGAGTAACAGGGATGCCTGTATCTGCTTTTACAGTTGTCCTCTCTAAAGCTTACCCAGCAGTAGGTACCCCCATCCCATTTGATGAGATTTTGTATAACAGGCAGCAGCATTATGACCCGAGAACTGGAATCTTCACCTGTAAGATCCCAGGAATATACTATTTTTCCTATCACGTGCACGTGAAGGGGACTCACGTTTGGGTAGGCCTGTATAAGAACGGCACCCCCACAATGTACACATACGACGAGTATAGCAAAGGCTACCTGGATCAGGCTTCGGGGAGTGCAATCATGGAGCTCACAGAAAATGACCAGGTGTGGCTACAGCTGCCCAATGCGGAGTCAAACGGCCTCTACTCCTCCCAATATGTCCACTCCTCCTTCTCAGGGTTCCTTGTGGCGCCCATGTGAACACTAATACCAAGCTCATCTAAATCCTCTGCTTCAAAAGGCTTTCCCCAACTCCATGGCTCCCACCCTGGAGATGCATATGGAGGTAGGCTAAAAGTAATGTGAACAGTTTAAATTTCTGAAATGCACTCCGCGGCCAAATTTCCTCCTATAATAGTGAACAGCAATGGTGACCATGTGAGGACTCTCTTGAGCACTCAGCAAGTCCAGAGCCCTCAGGGGTTCTGTGAATTCCTTTAATATTTAAAATTTCTACCATAAGCTAAAAAAAAAAAAACCTCACAAAAACAGAAATAAGGTTCTAACTCACCCTGAATTTCATTTCAGAAGTGCAGCATTTCTTTCTTTAAAAGCCTGTTTTTAATAATTAAAAGGAAAACTTCTAGGAAACATGCAGGAAGTATCACATAATTTTATAATAAGTACTTGAATATTCAAATGTAAATGATACTGTATCCCCTGGGATGTCTCTGATGGTGCATCACTCTATGGCTCGTACAGACCCTGTCATCAAGACAAATTCAAAAGCACAGGTGCATATATACTTTTGGAAGCTCTCATAAGAAACCAAAATATTGCATTTAAATTAACTTGAAGTACAAGGTGCTTCGTCAAAAACCTTTTCAAGCTTCTCTGCAATTGTAGAAAGTCCACATGCCTGGTGCAACTTGGAAACAGTTGTTTGACCTAGTCTTATGTCTGTCACACAGTGTGATTACTCCAATTTAATCCTGCTGCATCTCTGTAAAATGACTTTATGGGCTTACAGAACAGGAGCATGGAACGCCTTCCATTCCAGTGAAAGTATAATTAACATTAAAGGTTTCAAAATCAGACTAGAAACAAAAAGACATTATTTATTTATGCTCTGTACTGTATTTTTATATTACTGTTTAAAATTGTTACGCTGTACCTCACTTATGAAAGCATGGAGTGTTTAATCTACTTGTTATTACAAAACAATAAAATGACATGAATAGATTTTTCGTCTTTGACTTTACTTCAAAGCCAACAACTGGCTGTTCTCAATCGTGCTTTTCCTTGGAGAACACTAATGAGAAAATACAATGAAGCAGTGTGTGACTTCAAAGAGGTCATGGGTCCGTCCCTCTGTCAAGATGGACATTCCATGCACCATGTAACTATGGAGAGGTTAAAAAATAGCCTTTATGAGCCAGGACCAAGGCTGATGAGCACCCACAGGAAAATAAAAATATATAAACATCACTTTAAAACACTGGTTTTGTCTTGGAGGGAGAGAAGAAGTTGTCAGAGAAATATCAAATTGGAACAAATATCCTGCAATTATTATTTATGGCCTTAGCACATTTCAGTCATAATATTTAGAATTATTTTGATGACTTTATTTACTGAAAGGGAGGCATGTCATTTTTTTGGTGTCAATCAGCAGGCAACATATTTTAAAACTTAAGATTCTGCTGAACCCATCAGCCCACTTACTAATCAAGCCAGCCTGACTCAGTCACTAGAGTTACGTAACATAAAGGCTATTTACTCCTTCGAATAAGACCCTCTGTAAACCTGCAGAGAAGAGCAAAAAGTCCTAGCTTGAGGTTGGCAGTAACTTTGTCCCTATTCTGGGTCAACCACTCCAATTCCTTAAACAAAGAGAATGAAAGGAAATTCTATCAGCAGGGACTTCATCGTCTCTCTGTCACTACTGCACTGAGGGTTACAGGTGTCACCAGCTCCTGTTCCTAAGCCAGGAAACAAGGACTGGGACTTTGATTCTAGGGAATGCCTTCCAGTCTAGCCCAGCTGCATTGGAGACAAGTGAAGGAAGACAGCAGAGCAGACTGGCTCAGACGCCTGACGACTTACACAGCAGACTTACGACTTACGCGCACCAGAACTAGTTTCACAGTAAACATTTCACCAGAGCAAATCCCAAGTAAGGAGTGCAGCAAAAGACGCAGCGTCGATCTAATTCAGTAGACATGGGGCATTTAACAACCCTCTACCAGGAAGCCCCTCTTCACGTTACTCACCCTTAAAGGCTGACATTTTAAAATTGTGTTGTATACCAGCAACTACATCCTTCCAAAAATCAAATGTTTTTTGACCTCTGTTCTGCTAAAAGAAGAAATTTCCAAATGTAACAAGTGCAGTAATTCTGTTTCTAAGCATAGTGGTAAGCTACAGCAAATAATTACGTGTACTGACTCTAAGGTAGGAATTCAGGTTTTACAAAACATGACAGATTAATACAGAAATATTCCTCAAAAATCACTGCTGCAAGTCAACACATAAATAAATAAACATCACTAAGTATGAATGCAGTTTACATAGCCCAAATAAGGTAAAAATGTCCACTCCTACAGCCTAAAGTTACAGAATATTTAGACATACAAAAAATTTACCAAGTTCTATAGCTTCTGGAATAATGGGATGTGCATGATGGTATAACAGGGCCCAAAGCAGGGCAGTTCAGAATTCACTGTCCACTTAACCTGCACTTCCACAAACAGAAGTGCAAAGTCTCAAATGTCAATCATCTTATGGAGAACTTTGCAAGCTAGCAAAAAAATTTACACTCAACTATACAACTCTACAGCCCTTTGTTTCATAGAAACATCAACAGTGTTTACTTTCTATATGAAAAAAGATTATTAGATATTTATATATAATTATGTTCACTGCAAAATACTACAGGCTGATGAACTGGGGTGAAGTTCAGCAGTAGAGCCCTTGCTTGGAAGTGGAAGGACCTGGGTTTGATCCCCAGACCTGGAGGGCACTCGATATTTTTCCCCCATTGGTGTAAGTTAAGAAACGGGTTCCATTTCGTGCTGATAAAATCTACAATGCTGGGGATATACCTCAGTGGTGATGCCCTTTCATACTCTAGGCCCCAAGTAAAATCCCCAGCACCTAAACCAACCCAACCCAAACCAAACACCTCTCCTGCTCAACGGAAACTTTCACCAATGCATGCATGACTTTAATTCTCATTTCAATAATAAGCCACTTATACACTTAATTGTGTTTTTAAAATAAAATGGATGCAAAAAAGAAAAGTGATACTGGCACACAAACCAAGTTATATTCACAGGTCTTAAGTTTAAGTATAACTTGTCAAACTAAAGATTTATTTCATCTGGACAGTCACAAAGCAAATGATAAATTTTTAAAAATTGCTACATTTTCCTGGTTTGATATTTAGAGTACATCAAGACACATGGAATTTTTCTTAATTACCTGTACTTTTTTTTTTAATCTGCTAATGAAAGCAAGAAAATATTTGTCCAGAGCATATCTTCTGTTTTCTTTCTCTAGACTTTTACACCCCCTACTGGAGAAGGGGGTGACTTTTGCCTAACCAAACATTTTTTAAAGGTCACTCCTAATTTTCCAAAAATTCTTGATAAATTCACCATGTGTACTTCCTCAGTCACCTCTGAAACCACCGAAAGCAAACAAAGTGACATCTCAACTTGAAAGTTACACGTAATTAACACCTCTTATGACTAATGCAATTTTCGAAAGCCAGTGCCCACTCACCTTTGTTAAGGAGTCCACCACCCTGGCACACAGAAGAGCCCCCGGCAGGTCAAAGTAGTTATCATAGAAGTAACACTTTCCTAGAACAAACAAACAGAAAAGAATCAATGCCTCCTGCTTGTGGAAGAGAGAGAAACTTGTCTGAAGGAAGCCTGGGTGCTCATTTGATTATCTGAAAAGCCTCCACTTCCGTTATCCCTTGTGTCAGAGGTGGGGCCAGTGGTGTGTGTGCTGCCTGTCTGCAAGTGGAGGCCAGAAGACAGCCGGTGTCATTCCTCAGGCACATCCACCATTTGTTTGTAAGACAGTGTCAGTCATTGGCCTGGAACTTGTCACATAGGCCAGGCTGACTGGCCAGAGAACACCAGATTCCATGTGTTGCCACCTTCAAGCACTGGGATTACAAATGTAGATGGCACCTTGCCAGGGTTTTTCATCGTAAATTCTGGGGACTGAACCTAGGTCTTTCCTAGACTTTTTAATGTTTTGTTTTAGGGACATTTCACTTGTGTTGCACATGTCTTTGAGCAATGGTACTATTAGCTGGGTATGTAGAGAACTTTCCATAGGAATTTCAGTGAAAAGACCCATTTCAAATTAGCATTACTACAGGCTATCCTTTTTTTTCATATTTTAAAGATTTACTTATTTTATTTTTTTATTGAGTATGTCTGAGTGCTTAATCTACAGGTATATACATTCTACATGGGTGCCCGGTGCCTGTGGAAACCAGAACAGGGTGTCAGAGCCCCTGGGACTTAAGTTACAGACAGCTGTGACCTGTCATGTAGGTGCAGGGAACTGAACCAGATCCTGGGCTAGACTGAGTGCTCCTAATTGCCGGATCCATCTCTCCAGTCCCCATCCTTATCTTTTGAGAATGTTTAAGTTCTAATGACCCTAAAAGACAGCTGAGACAGGACATCTGTAAGTTAAGCATTTTATTAAAACACATTTCAGTTGCAAAACAATATATAACCTCAAGACAGAATACATTATCACTGTAAAATGCAATATGAAGAAGCCACAATATATTATTAATGTGGCCAAAACAGTTAAATAATCTAACATTAGAGTCCCATGAATTGTCCCCTATAAACTTCTCTAATTAACCCATGTAGAATACTGTGTTCTATTTTGCACCATTTAAGACAAACAGGAAAACTTGAGAACAGCCAGGGTAATGACAGGAATAAAAACCATGTCATGTGAGTGTATGGTGGACTGGATCAGAAAATCTCAAGAGTATCGAACAAGCACATTCCAGGGTCTCATGGGAGAAAAGGATTAAGGTTTATTCTGTGTGGTCTTGGGGTAAATTAAATCCAAGCCCTTCCTTGTCCATTTATCATTTCTGGATTTCCATGTCCCAGGCAACACTTCTGCTGGCCCACATCGCATCTGACTCCAGCTGTGGTGCTGAGCAGTGTCACATGAGACCTAACAGAGTCACTTGCTTTCACCCACGGCCCCAGAGCCACAAGTTCAACTTGACTAACAAGCAAGTGAAGCAGGCACCCCAACATCCTTTCTCTCCAGAAATCTCAGTGAAATCCAAAGTCCCCTGTCCCTTCTTTCTATAATATTATTAAGGTTAGCAACCATATGCTCTGACAGCTTGAATGTAAGCATAGTCTAAGTTTCAGAGCCACTGGACCTTCTTTCGTTCCTCCTTCTCCACACTTAAAAAAATTTATGTGTGGGGTGAGAGAAGGCTCAGTGGTTAGGAGCATGCACTGTTCATCCAGAGGCCTGGACTCAGATCCCAGCACTCAGGGCAGTTCCACCCAAATACCTGTAACTCCAGTTCCAGGGATCTGACACCTTCCTCTGTCCTCTGTGTGCATCTGCACTTAAAAAGTTTTATCGTTTTAAAGAGACAGGCCTTCACTGCGTATCCATCTGACATCCCAGGTTCTGCACACCTGGATGGCAACTCTGCCCCACAAACCAGATGAGATGAGACCAAGATGTTTATGGGGACTGCAGCAGTAGGAGCTGTCACTTCTAGGCAACAGCACCCTCTGGTGGGATAGGAGTGAACAAACAAGCCCTCATAACTGGGTACCTGCTCCTTCTCAGAGCCAGGGGATATTTTATCTTTAAAAAATAGTCCAGATTTTGATTGAATTTCCAAGTGAAGCACTTAGCTCTGAGCCTGGCGTTCCTGGGGAAAGGGAAGAAGTTACTTAACAGCACTTTTTATCACTGGGAATTGAATGGATAACTTCACATATACTAGGCACCCTCTCTCTACAGTGAGCAATTATCCCAGCCCGAAACAACAGTTTATTATCATTACTTGGGAAGAAAACTTTTGACTGAGACGCACAAAAGCACTCTATACTGAGCTCCACAGTACTGTCTTTCTCTTATACACTTACTTTGTCAAAAACACTCACACCTTCTAATACTTTCAAGTCACCAGAAAGACTTAAACAAAACATCCCCAAAGAAGGTAAATGTAACAAGGAAACACAATAATAACAAATAAGTGTTAACTATTTTCAGCTTATCATATGTCTGAAAGGGAAAGGGCACATTTTAACACTACAGTGTGGTGGAAAAAGCAGGGCTTATGGCAGAGAGAACAGAGAAACAGTATCATTTTAATGAGGACTTCCTGCCCATAAAAAAAGGTCTTAACCACTCCAAATCACCCCACCCACACCTATGTCAGTGAATAATTTCTGATATATTGCTTCTTGTTTCACTCTGGTAAAGCTCTTTACACAGACTTGAGGAGAATTGCGGAATCATTTTATAATAAAAGTCAGAGGCAGGAGACAGGACTGTCAGTGAGGAAGCAGGGTCTAGGGAACAGGAATGGCAGGCAGTGGAAATAAGAAGCCCCGGGAGACAGAGAAACTGAGGATGGAGCATGTAACTGCTATGTAAAAAACAGACCCCAGCTAAGGAATGCATCATCTCCAGGACAAATCTTTCTACTCCAGAAGAAACACGGGGAAAAGGAGATTCAAGCAAACCTTCCACAGCAGTGACAATGTGGGAAGCACACTCTAATCCAATGTCAAACAGAAAGTAGACACACCTGAAAAGCAAATACTGTTGCTGCTATAAAGCCACAGCCATTCCTCTGGACACCTTGCTTGGCCAAGGGACAGACAGGCCAAAAGTGAGGCAGAGGAGCCCTACCTGAGCAGCAGGGAATGTCGACGTTCGCTGCACAGTGTCTGTCTGTCGTACAGTGCCTCCAGTCCTTCTTGCCGTAGGTCTCCACCAGCTCCTCTGGAGTCATCATCCTGGTGCCGTGGCTTGCCCTGTTGGGGAGGACTGTAGTGCTCACTAACAGTTCCCTTGACTGCCTCTTCAGTAACACGAGAAGACTGATCCCCATCCTCTGGGGTTAACATAGCTTTGTGTTAATTTTTTCTTGAAACAGGATCTTGTTATATAGCCTAGGATGGCCTCGAACTTGTGAAACTCCTGCCTCAGCCACCTGACTGCTACCCATGGGCTGTCATGCCCAAACATTGTTTCCCTTTTTTGCATATTTGGTTTTCACTGGGTTGATTTCATCTGGTCTGGGATTCTAGAAGCACTTTACGGCTATAGTATAACAGCCATGATACTAGGCCCTTTAGGCAGAAAACAGTTGCCTAGGCAACAAAAGTAAAAGCAGGCCAGTTCTAAGATCATCATCTGGATGTTCTGGGGTTTCTACCACAGCTGTGGCTCTTCCTCTTCTAGCCCATCCATTAGCAAGTGATGAGGAGCTGCCCTATGTGAGAAATGCATGCTGCCCTTTCCTAGAGGAGCTGTGGTGTCATCAAAAGATGAGAAAAAGCTGGTGTGGTGGTGGCACATGCTTGGAATCCCAGCTCCTCAAGAGGGTAAGATCAGAGGGCCACAAGTTCAAGGCCATTCTGGAAAACTTATAGAGAGACCTTGTCTCAGACATAAAAGGAAAAGCAAAGCACTGGGGATGTAGATTGGTGGTAGGGAACTAGTCTAGCATATGTGTGGGCCCTAGATTCTATCCATAGTAGCATGCACACAAAGCAAGAGCAAAATACGTATTCCTCTGGAACAATTAGGAAACAGCCATGTAGACAGAGTGGGAAGGGTGACAGGCAGCCATGAGGATGCAGGTCCCCAGGAGTGGAAGGCACCTGGCATCAAGGGCCTGTGGAGACGAGACTGGACAATCCACCCACACAAGGACACATACACTGGATCAACAAAAACACTGGAAGCACATAGGAACTTGCCAAACATAACAGGGTACAGGAATAGCTAGCTTCTATACTCAAAAATCTGCTCTTCTTCACTAGAGCCTTGTAGAAAAGTAGAGAGCTGATATTTTAAATAGCTCATTATAAGAACATATAGTGTATTTCATTTTGGTAGGAAAATAATCTAAAGGGGAAAATGAGGAAATGAAGGAAGAGCCGAGAGGTGGTGGCACACACTTTTAATCCCAGCACTTGGGAAGCAGAGGCAGGAGGATCTTTGTGAGTTCGAGGTCAGCCTACTCTACAGAACAAGTTCCAGGGCACGCTCCAAAGCTACACAGAGAAACCCCGTCTCAAAAAACAAACAAAGAAAGAAACAAAAAAAGAAAGAAATGAAGGAAGAACAAAGAATACACACAGTTCTTTTCTTTAGAGGCTGACCCTTCAAAATCAAGATGGAGGAATACTCCGGGCATACATGAGCATGTAGGATGAAGTCATCAAGGAGAGGAAGTGTGCAAGAGAAACTTCAGGTTATTCAGAAGTTAAATTGAGAGATACAGAGACTGAGCAGACAGACAGACAGACAGACAGATAGATATTAACAACTATACAATGAATGAAGACTGCCAAGAATCTACTTGGACCAGAGACTTACAGATTAAAGGTAATGGACATAGCTGGGTGTTGGTGGCACACGCTTTTAATCCCAGCACTTGGGAGGCAGAGGCAGGTAGATCTCCGTGAGTTCGAGGCCAGCTTAGTCTCCAGAGCGAGTGCCAGGATAGGCTCCAAAGCTACACAGAGAAACCCTGTCTTGAAACCCTCCCCACCCCCCAAAAAAGGTAATGGACATAGTATTGTTTACAGATAAACACACTCCCTAGTTGCCTGAAAAAATAATAGGCAAATAAATTACAAAACAGTAAGAGATAAGGCCATCCCTGTTCCTTACAAGACCTTAGGGGAGAGGCTGGGGAAATCCACCTGATTACTGATTAATGATGTATCAAAAGTGCCCAAAGAGGGGGTGTTTACCCTGGTTCTGTACTGAGTCTCCTTTGATGCTGACCAACTGGGTATAAATAATAACAGCGTACTGCACGGCCATGTTGGTGTGACTATACTGTTAGCACGAGGTGGGAAATAGATCTTCACTGCACGGTGCTTGCTGGAGACTCAGTAGTGATAGCAGCTAGTTACGGAAAGTTCCCCACACCCTGCTCAACCCCTGAGTGGTCTGCATGCACTCGGAGAGAAGGAATGGAAAGGAAACCAGAGTGTGGAGCTGACAAGGTCCACAAGGAGCCTGCATGAAGGAAACAAGTATGCTGTAATGGGGTAAAAACAGACCATGGACTAACGGGGTATACACAGGCCATCGACCCCTACCCAGTACCCATCTGCGTCTTATTTAATTAAAGGATCTTTGATGCTATTATAATTAGAAAAAAAAGGCTAGGCAATGTCATGAGGCATGTTATTTCCTACTGTATTTCCTGCAAATATTTCTAAGAAGTTGAAAGTAGTACAGAGCTGTTATCTGCCATCTGGGTGACTAAAATACTAACCTCACCTTGTAGATTAAGGACTATTCACTAGTAATAAAGTTTCCTGGAAGAGGCAAGACTCTAGCCACAATTACATCTGATTACCTGAGCACAGTGCCATCAGCTGCAAGTTTAATGAAGGTTCCATCCTCCAGATCCAAGGCCAAACCCTTGCAACTAAAATGGAAAAGTCTGATTATCAACCAGCTCATATACTTAGTTATCCTCAGAGACAAAATTCTGCATTTTCAAATGTTACAATGTTAAAAGAGCTTTCCTCCTCAGCTAAACAAAGAATATGTGTACCAATAAGAGAGAACATCCAAGAACAATGAAGTTGATTATCACTTAAAAACGGGTACATAAGGAAAATGGCCAGGAGGCAAAGGGCAGCACGTAGCATGTTCAGCTTATGAAGTCTTTAGGCTTTTGCAAAAGAGAGAGCAAGCCACAACTCAAAAGAGAAAATACTAAATGAAAATTATCCTGTACCTTGCTAAAATACACAAATGTTTTCCATTATCTAAAACGCATGGGCAGGTGACATGGTTCAGTGGGTAAAAGTGATGGTTGAGCAAAGCTGACAACCGGAGTTCAATCCCCAGTTCCATGGTGGAAGAAAGGACAGACTCCTGAAAATGGACCCCTGACCTTCACACAGGCGTGCCTGTGCAGGTGAGCAATCATGAAAATAAAATTAGAACACATACAAACAGAAAGCTCTACTTGAATATCCATACACATTTACAATGCACAAGCGAACCTCTTTGCCTGGGTGTTTTCTACATTATTTTGAACCTACCTCCATATAATTCTACTTATAAAAACTTACCTTCTGGCCAAGGTATATTATTGAAAACCAGCAAAAGAAGTTCAAATACTAAGTTCTAGGCTCTTTATTATAAAAAGAAAAAAAAAAAAAAACAAACTTGTGGGAGCTGAACAAAATGTATAGATTCACTATTACGAATAATAACATCAAAGCAGCATACTTTACCACAACCTGTCTAAACTGAATAATTTATATTGATTAAGCTTTTTTTTTAAAGATTTTATTTATTTATTATGTATACAACATTCTGCTTCCATGTATATCTGCACACCAGAAGAGGGCACCAGATCTCATAACGGATGGCTATGAGCCACCATGTGGTTGCTGAGTATTGAACTCAGGACCTCTGGAAGAGCAGCCAGTGCTCTTAACCTCTGAGCCATCTATCCAGCCCTGATTAAGCGGTTTTTTGTTTGTTTGTTTGTTTGTTTGTTTTGTTTTGTTTTTGTTGTTTAAATGAGGACAAAAGACAAAGAACTCCCTTCGTGGGGTTAGGAATCTTAACCTCAGGAAGGGATGAACAATACGAACCAGAAAGGAATATTTATTCCAATGTTCTAACTCAGTCACTTATTTTAACATGATGACTCCTCTTTTTGGCTCAGAATAACAAAACTTTTTCGTTTAGATGTAAATTTTAGTTTTTAATAACTTGTCAACCTCCTATGCCTGACTGAAACTGCATATAAATATCCTACAAGCAGTCACAAACTAAAAGCTTATTTTCATATTAAAGTCTACATATGTTTCAAGTACAAAAGACTTTAACTGATTAACACAAAACTTCTAGTATAGAAGGAATTTTGTCCTTTGACTCAATTTCACATTCCACTGTCCGCCTTCATAGAAGAGGAAGCACTAAGAATTTATCAGCAACAATTCTGATGCAGCAGGGGTGTACCTACTGGCAGAAGGGGACAGGGACTTACCAGAAATCCCAGTCCTCTGGCGTCAGAGTGAGCAACTCCTTATCATACCCTTTCTCCTTGACTAAGAACTGAGCAAAGCTGTTATAAATGAGCTGCAAATAAGGGAAGCAAACAGAGAGATTTACCATAAGGTTCACTACCCACTCTTCATTTCATACACCTGAAAACATAACAGAATCACTGGTGGGGCCAGGTAGGAGGGAACATTTATAATTGTGAAGTTCTGCCATTTAACACTGTCCCCAGGTGATCTATCAGCCCCAAAGAGCCCTGAAATTAGATCATCAGTACAAAACTATATAACCAAAGACAGGCATTAATCTTACACCCAGGTCCTAATGGATTGGTGCTCATCATTAAGACCTGACAAAGCTCTGCCACTACCAGACTGTCACCAGGACAATCAGCACGCTGGCCACTCTATCATTAGCTCTCACTTGGTCGTCAGTGCTACAAAGGCCTGGGCTGAGTGGAGACTCAGTAAAGGTACATCCAGCCAGGCAGATGAGTTAGGAGGAAACATGAGGCCTCTATCAGACACAAGGAGCCTCTTATTTGTCTACGCAAAGAGAACAACTAAGCACAAAGCAGGCGGGAAGCCTTTGGAAGCCTGCGCAAGAAAACCAAAGCTCTGGTTGTTGACAGACCTGATTTCTCAACAGTTTTTTTTTTTTTTTAAATTAAAATACCCTTATTTAATAAGCAGTGTGATGCTTCGGAGATGACTCAGTGGGTGACATGTCTGCTGCACAAGCATAAGGACCTGAGCTCAGATCCCCAGCATCCATATAAAATCTGGACATGACACCCATTTGTAACTCGAGCACTGGGGGTCAAAGAAAGGGGGCTCTCCAGAGCCTGCTGGTCAGCTAGTCTGGCAGAATGTATGAGCTGAGTTCAGTGACATACCTCCACCTAGAAGGTATGGTACAGCTGGGGAACCCAGGGACATGGTGGACCAAGCATGTGTAAACAGAAAGCGGCGTGTTCTCTGCTGCAGCTGGGGTGGTGGGGGCTGGGTGCTAGGAAATGAGAATGGAGAAAGCAAAGACTCCCATCAAATAGAGCTGCTCTCTGTCTAAAAGCCCAGTAAAAACACTCAGTGTGACTCCCAGCTAGTGCAGAGTTACCTTCATCTAGGTCACACCAGATAGCAACAGTTCTAAATCATGGAGGTGATTCAGAGTGGCTGTTACCTCTTAAAGCCACTAGACTTGCAGGGAAGAGAGAGGCCCTGGTGGGTTCCTATGCGATTCCTTTTTTTAAATTTTTTTTAATAACTCTTTTAAAACATGATCCACTATATAGCCCTGGCTGGCCTGAAGCTAGGAGAGCTTCACCTGCCTCTACCTCTCTAATGCTGGGATTAAAGATGCATGTACTCCACCATGCTCAGCTCCTACAGGATTCTTGAAGCCTAGGAACCATAGACATACAAGGTGAAAAAAAATTTTTTAAATGTACTGAGTCACACCAAGATTCAAAGTAACTATTACAAACAGTAGATGAGTATCTGTCCTGACCCTGCCTGCAAGGTCTATTGCCAGTCTGGGGTTAACAGATGTAAAGCTTAGGGGGTACTTGACACATAGGCAAATTTGGCAGAAGCATTTGCTATTGTTATCAGTCCTGTGTTAGTTATACACCAAACCCACGATTGACTGTAACACCTGCCCATGTCCACTGTATAAACATCCCTATCCTGCCAGCGCACAACACAGCTTTGGCTTCTACCAGAATCTGCCAAATAAAGAACGACGAGGTAAATCCAAATGCTAGATTAATAGCAAATAGTTTTGCTTTTTCTGATAAGCATGTTCCATGTAATAGCTGGGTGTTCACAAAAACCAGGAATGCTTCTGTAATCTGAAATTCAAACGAACTATGTGCCCTGTGTTTTAATTTGCTACACCTGGCAACCCTATAATCCTGCTGTGTTGGAAAATAAGGCAAAGCTCCCGAAATGGAAAGGTTTTCAATTATTTCAGATTCCCAGCTTACAAAGATGAACTAGAAGACTTGGCAGGACTAGAAGACTGGAGTGTGGCTACTCCTTTAGATGGGGCACACATTCTCAGTGTCAGACACCCCCCCCCCCCATTCTCCCAAAACTGGTGAGTGGGTGTTCCCTGACCTTTCAGTCTGCAAGCCAAAAGAACATAGGTGTCAAGTGTCATGTCCTCTGGGATGCTGTTCCTGATCCCTGGGGGAAGGGACACCAATAGGCTCACATTTGCATAACACCATGCACTTGTTACATGCCCTCACTGAGAAAATTGCTGATTTCTCTACAAGTGGCTGCAGTTTCTACTTTCTGAAACTGCAGAGCCTCTACAGTCCTTTGCATGCTCCTTTCACCTGACACCATCCAATTCCAACCCCATGTGGACACCCTGCCCTGGGAGAGGGAAATGAGAACTCAAGCCTCAGCATCATGCTGAGTGATCCAAAGATAACAGGGTCTGCTAAGGATGTAACCTTTCTGTGCTCCGTGGTTACCATTTCTTAATAGTAACATCTAGAGATCCCCCAGAGAGGCTGTAAGGCTCCAGCCAATCTGGTCCACTGGCTGGATTTGGAGACACACCTCTAGGACTGTCTTTGAGGGTGTTTCCGAGAGATTTAGCTGGGGGGTACAATGTACCCCAAAAGAAGGTAGTACCATCCCAAGGGTTGGGGGCCCAGACTGAATGAAAATGGAATAAAAAGCCAGTAGAGGGGTTGGGAGACAGCTCAGTGGATACAATACTTGGCACACAAACACCAGACTAGCTGGAAAAATGAGCTAGCTCCAGGTTCAGTGAAGAGTCTCTGCTATAAAAAATAAACTGGAGGGGTTGGAAAAAAGGCTCAGTGTGAGACATGCTTGCAGCCAAGTCTGTCAACCTGAGTTCAATTCCCAGATCTCACATGGTGGGAGATAACCAATGCCACATGTGCACACATCATGTACACACACACACACACACACACACACACACACACACACACACACACACACACAAGACACACACACTCACACACACAGATATACACTCACACACACATATATATACACTCACACACAGATACAGGCACACACACACAAAGATATACATTCACACACATAGACACAGGCACACACACACACACAGATATACACTCACACACACAGACACAGGCACACAGACACACACACACACACACTCACACACACACACATACAGATATACACTCACACACACATACACTCACACACACAGACACAGGCACACAGACACACACACACACACAGATATACACTCACACACACACACATACAGATATACACTCACACACACATACACTCACACACACAGACACAGGCACACAGACACACACACACACACAGATATACACTCACACACACACACATACAGATATACACTCACACACACATACACTCACACACACAGACACAGGCACACACACACAGATATACACAGACACAGACACAGACACACACACACACACACACACAGCCAGCAGAGCACTAACATTTATCTCTCTGCTTGCTGACTGTTGATAAAATGTCACCAGCTACCTAATTTCCTGCTGCTATGCCCTAGATGCCAGGATGGACTGAAACCCTAGAAACAATGAACCCAATTAAATACTTCCTTAAGTTGCTTCTTGTCAGGTATTTGGTCACAGCAGAGAGAAAAGTACCTAATACAAACTCAACCTATTTACATAAGCAGAATGCTTAATACAATAGCGGCTGTGTGAATCCATAGTCCCAGTGGGCTTGCTGGCTAGCAGTTCCAGCTGAAATGGGGAACTCCAAGTTCACTGAGACACTATCTCAAAAGATAAGGTGGAGAGCAGAAGAGGAAGAGACACGACATCAACCTCTGCCCCTCCATGTGTGAAGCATACCCACACATACATACACATACACGCATACACCACACACAAACACACCACAACAGAAAAAAGTGACTGTGCTATCCATATTCAGCTACTAAAGTTCTTTAACACCAACCACATTGTAATTTACTGAGCCCAGTACACTCAGTGCTAACACTCAGGGCACAGAAAACACGGTCAGTATGATGCTAACACAACTGGGGGAGGAGTCCAAAGAGTAACTGGGAAACGTTAAAACCTTATGGTGAAGTTAGGTTTTGAGGAAAACTGGAGGCGGTGACATGATAAACTTCAGAGGTGGGAAGGGAAGGACTCGAGGTGGTCTCATAAGGGAGCAGGACTTAACCTGAGGCCCCTCGTGAAGAAGAGAGATACTATGAAGAACAGACAAGGGCCTCCAGTAGCAGGACAGGCAGTAGCATGCAGCAAGACAGCAAAGACTGCCTTCTCTTTGAGGATGGAAAAGAAAAAGAACTACTTTACATCATCTTTCTACAAACAAGCTGCTGCCCACTGAGATGCTGCCACGTGCGTGGGGTTCACACCTGTCTCCCTAACTATGTCCTGGTGCCAACATGCTGTGAGACTTTTCTACACCAAACATAATCTAAGCCTCACCAGGGTACCTCTTTCAGCCTTTAAGCAGCACGGAGATGAAAAATCCACAATAGAGTATCCTGTGGATCTTATATTCTGACATTTTTTATGCTCATGCATGCACACCATTGGCTCTTAACATGACAGCAGTTAAACAACATTCCCCCCAAAAAACGATGGTGATTAAAGATGAAGTACATGAGAAAACAAAAACCAGACAGGGATTTGAAAGGCTGGAAGGAAAATAACACCCAAACATCTATGTGAAGGTGTAGCCAAAGGATCAAGACTTACAGAAATGCCTTCAAACTGTCACTATGAGGAAGGATGTGAGATCCGTGTCACCAGCAAGCAGAACAGTTCACCAGCAGGGAACACACACACACACACACACACAAAAAAAAAAAAAAAAAAAAAAAAAAAAAAAGCATATGTATACAGAAAGTACATCCAAGTGATTCAGGAACCTCAGTACCCGAACAATTGGGGCACTGACAGGATTACACTGAATAGCACTGGCTGTTGTCTGCTCTAGTGATCCACGGCTCTACCCCAACACTCTGGGTGCAAGCATAACAGCAAACAATAGTTCTTTTTCCAGCCACAA